TAACATCAGCTGAGATGGAAACTGAATTCATTCAAGTCACTTTCACTTGTGAATTAGTCTAGGATCGGATTCCTTTACTCCACAGATAGGAGCATACTGCAGAATACAGGCTAATTACACTATAACAAATAGAAAATATAGGAATTGCCAGACTGAATCAGACCCGGAGTCCATCTGGTCCAGTATCCTGTCTGTCTGTGATCCAGTACCAGCTGCTTCAGCGGGAAGTACAGGACACCCTGTGGTAGGCAGTACGGGACTATATATGGAAATATGTATTTGCTCACTGTATGGAAAAGGCCAGCAGTGTTTTGGAATGCTGGCTGCTTGCAAGATGCTCACAATATCTTCAGTGTGGGTTGCTAAGCCAGTCTTTTCAGTCATGGCTCAGGAGTGTCAGGTCTTTGCCTTCTCAGTTTCTAGAAGAGGCAAGAGATGCCCTTGCTACTCTCGCTTGTTCCAGTAGCAGTTTACACATACAGTCATCTAGAATGTCTACACGGAAGCCACTAAGCTGCAGATACATGGAACTGCAAACATTTGGAAACTCGATGATTGTGTTCAAAGACACAGGACTAGGCAAAGAGATGCTATTTCCTCCTTTTTAAGGATTCTACTGTAGCATGCAAAGGTATCAATGGAGCAGACCCAAACACCGCTCTCTAAATGCCAGTTTCCTCCATGCTAAAATGATTAAATCATACACACAAAGCAGTGATTTACCAAAAAACCACCCTACAAACCAGAGCATCCTTGCAGAATAATTTCAGTATGCTTATTTTCCTGATTTCTTTTAACATCTGCCATTTTAATCATTAGTCTCACGTTTGCTTTCGTAGGTGTTGTAGCTACACAACAGAAAGCATTTAGAGATAAATCACACATGTTATGTCTTGAGGCAAGGTGCTTCTCCCGCCTTTGTTGCATGAAATAATCCTGTCCTAGAAACACAGTAAATACCCAGACATGAATTTGTGTTTCCTGAAGATAAAAAAATCCCTTAGAATGAAACAGCTGCAGGTTTTTGTGGAGGTTAACACACAAAGCCAACGGTTAACCTTAACGGTATTTAGGAAGTTTGTAAGGGATATAGAAGGTGCCAAACACAGGGTTTAGTATTTAAAACCACCATGCATGTGTGTTAAGTTTCCTTCTTCCCCAAAACTTCCTTTCTTAGCTGCATGCAATTTAAAAGCAGAAAGGGCTGCCAAGTTCCTCTCTGCTGTCTTTCCACTCATTCTTATGTTCCACATGTCTGCATTACCTTTTTCCATACACTGTACTATTGAATCAAAGATGAGGATTATGGTATTATTTGACGCAAGGTTTATCTGTATGCTTAGGCTATAGCCAAAGAGGGAGAGTGGGGTGAAAGGGAGATGAACTGAGAAGGGGGTGTTGAGAATTTTTTTCTGTTGATACAGGTTACACTGAAATTGTTTACTTTGCGCATGCACCTTGAAGTTCAATATACTATATTACAAATAATTTTAATACAGATATTTTCCCCCCATCTCCTTTGCTGTGGTGTTTGCTCAAACGCTCGTGATGAGCCTAATTGGATTAATGGAAAGCAAAACAGTTCTTCTCCATGTCATTACACAAGATTTTCAGGAATGGACACGGTGGACTTTGCGTACAGAACCCAGTTATGGATTTCAGATCCATTCTATGAGTGAAGAGTAGCAGATTTTACAAGTAGAAACAATGGGAGGTAGTCAAGAGAGCCTCTTAGCGGATCTGTTAGATTTATGGGATAGACACAGGCACTCTCACACTAGACACTGAAGACTAGTATCCCACACTGGGCCTGGGGAGAAATGGACCTTTTCCATCACTGGCTTCTCAGCTGCTGGGCTTGGCACTGCCAGTGATGCACAGTCACCGCTACTCTACCTGGGCAGCGTCCAGAGCCTAGACCAGTAGCGCATACCCAACAGTGCACTGTTCTAGCCCACTGCTCCTGGATTGGCGGAAACTGTAGCAAGTTCATGCATGTTGGGTGTGATCCTCGTTAGGTGCTGAGTGGACTTCATTCCTATTGGCTTCTAGAGTGGCTGAGGTCACTAAGAACCACATTGACTCTCAGACACCCTTTTTGTTCCAATAGCAGCAGCAGTAACAACACCTGCCAATTAAGTTTTTCACGAATGTGTGGTGGAAAGGAAAAATAAAGGCCACCACCATAGAGCAGCAGCATGCTGTAATTTATGCCGAGTTCCCGCAGCCTCCTGACATAACTGATGAGTGACTGACCAGAACCAGTACGGTGCTGCATTCCCATGATCCAGCCATTCATGGCAGGGTCTTTAACTGTGGAGTCTAGTCCACAAACACACTTCCCCAAGTCAGAGGACTTGAACCCGGTACAGTAGAGTCCAAGGCATGCCAAGATGAACAATATAATGCAATTCTAATCTGAAGCATACTTTTCCATCTGAGGATCTCAAAGCACTAAAAACTATTTAAGCCTCACTGTGTGAGGGAAGAAGGCATCATTATCCTTATTTTATAGATAATCTCTCTGTGCCTCTAATTTCTTAAGTGTTCACCCAAGGTCACACAACATAGCATTGGTAAAATAAGGAACAGAAGCCAGGAGTCCTGGTTCCCAGCTACCTGCTTTAATCATGAGGTCACACTAGTCAGAATGCTAATAAAAGTCAGTGTTAAGTATTATCTTCTAGTTATCAATGTACAGATGAGCTATTTCCCCTAACACTGAAACACCCACATTATAATTTAGGCTTCAATACGTGCAAGTTAAATTAGTTTACTTCAGAATTAAGCCAATCCCATTTTAACCAGCGCCACACTCATCAACTTCGTTTCAAGAGCCTATAGAAGCCAATGATCTAGCATCACTACTGATTTTCTTCTCTCCACCCACCACCCTTTATTTTAGGCTGTAATATTCTGTAGGAAATTAAAGTCACGCATTTGAGATCAAATTAAGACCTCCATGGAACCCACATTAACAAGAGTTAAATGATCCGCTGCTACGAAAGCAGCAGTTTAAATGATGTTTGGGGGAGTTATGCAGGGGAGGGCCAGGCAGTTTGAAAATCAAGCAACCAAGGAAAGGACAGTAGCAGAATCCTTGTTGGCCGCTCACATTGTTTAACTGGGTGTGCGGGGAGAAGCAATGCTGAGGACACTAGAATGAATCTCTTTAGCGACAGTCGCTGCCTCCCCTCTCCAGCTGTCAGGCGTGCAAAGGAAGCCCAGACTTTGCGCATGCCCAATCACAGAGACAGAAACCACTTCATTCGGTCACAAGAAAACGGCCGCAACTGGCCCTTGTGTCCAAACAAGAGAGCACCAGCACTCCTGCTCCAAGGCGGAGCACCGTCTGCTGCCTCTCACCCTAAGTCTCTCCTGCATGCATTACTGGGGGAGGAGGATGATGGGTAGAAATGGGGGATTCTTCCTCCCCTCCTTAGCCTGGAAAAATAAGCCATTTGCTGAGGTTTGAGATATAAAACGAGTCTTTGGCAGTCCAGGACCTTAGCAGCAGGATTCATCTATACACACCATGCTCTGCAGGGACATGCACCTGCTGCTCAACTCAGCAGCCCCTTATCCTGCCCCTTGCAGCTGCCTCAGTCCCCCACAGGCTCCCTCCCCCCAGTCAGCCTCTTGCAGGAGCTTGCTGCCTCCCACCACCATCCTGACGGGGCTTGCAACTCCCTTACCCAGCACTCCCCTTCCTCTGCAACCAGCCCCTTGCACAACCCTGGTCCAGTTGCCAACCCACCCCCAGAAGCCCTCTCTGCTCCGTGCAGCACCCACCCCACTTCTTCACTAGGGGGCAGTCCAAGAAATCTCCCTCTTTCCATGCTTCCTCTCCCTGCAGCTGTTGGGTATTCTCATTTATTTAAAGGGTCTTCTCCTTTCCACCACCCCCAGGCCCGCTACCCCCTCAACAACCCATCACACCCCCTCCTATACAATGCTCAGCCCCCCAAGGCCCCTCCCTTACAACACCTCCCATTCCCCATCCTTCCTTGACACCCCCAGGTAGCAGCCCTGTCCTCCCCTTCCCACCACTGAGCCCCCATTTTACAATACACAGCACTGAACAAACGCCAATGCACAGCCTTCCTGGCCCCAACGTCACAGGACCCCCCCACTCCCAAATCACACAGCCTCAACACAGAAGACTCCCTACACCTCCAGTGCACCAGCAGCCAGTGCCTTTCCACTGCACAGCCTTCTTGGACCCCATACTGCATCAACCGCTCCTCCATCCTTTTGCACAGCCTCTCCCCCACTGCAACCCCTAACTACACACGGCACCAACCCCACATCTCTTTTCACACCCTCACTGTACAGCCCCCTCCCCTATAAAACAAAGTCTTCCCTGTCCTCCGTGCACAGCTCCCCCACTTCCTTCTATCCACTGCAGCCCCATAACCCCATATTGCACAAACTCTCCTTCTGCTTTTGTAACCCCACTGCACCGTCTTCCTTGGCAGCACTCCACATACCCCTTCCCCATATTGCACCAATTTCCCTCTCCCCTTTTGGGCAGCCCCTCCCGCACTGCAGCCCCCACTACACAACCCCTATTCCTCTTCCCCCACTGCACCACGTCCCCAATTCCTCCCCATGACAGCTCCCACACATTGTACTAGCTCCCCTACCCCCAGCATCCCCATTGCACCCCCCGCCCCAGCTCCCCTGCCCCAGCACCAGCTCCCCTGCCCCTATTGCAGCCCCTTTGCAACAGCTCCCCTGCCCCCAGCTCCCCTACCCCATTGCACCCCCTACCCCACTTGCACCCCCCTGCCCCCAGCACCCGCCGCACCGGCTCCCCTGCCCCCATGCAGCCCCTTTGCCTCCCCACCCCAGCTCCCCCGCCCTCTACCCCCATTGCCCCAGCTCCCCTGCCCCCATTGCAGCCCCTTTGCCCCCCCGCCCCAGCTCCCCTGCCCCCACTGCAGCCCCTTTGCCCCCCGCTCCCAGCACCCCACGCCCTCCAGGGCCGGCTCCGGTACCTGCTCCCGAGGGTCCTGCTTCCATCCCATCCACGCGGGCACGGCTCCGAGCTGGGCTAACCGCGAGCGGGGGGGGCGGGCGCTGCTCCCTCCGCCTCCCGCTGCTGCTGCGGCCGCCGCAGCCTCTGGGCAGCCTCCTCCTCCCCGCCTGGGCCCCAGGGCGCAGGCGCGAGCGTCCGGCCAACCAGCGCCGCCGCGAGTGACTCGGCCCGGCCCCAGCGCCAACAAAGGCGGCGGAGAGGGGACAGCGCCCCCTAGCGGCGCGGCGCGGCAGCCCCCTGCAGGCCCATAACGCCTATACACAGCACCGCCATCTTGGATCCATAGCGAGGCTGGGCAGCTTTTCTGGCAGCTGCTGTAGGGGTGTTCTGGCTGTGCAATGGGGAGCTGGGGAAGGGGATGGCTGGGGGTGCGAATGGGGGGCTGGGGAAGGGGTGCGTGGGTGTGCAGTGGGGGGCTGGGGAAGGGGT